AAGGAACACAGCTTTTAATTTGCATGCAATGTGTGTAAGGTGTTAAAAAGAAGGAATCATTCAGTATCTGATCACTCCCTACCTTCCCCAATTTGCATGCAGTTGTCTATTTCTTACACAAGTTACTGGGATCAAATTCTATTTCAAGTGGTTTTTTTTTAACATTTACAATATGAATAAATGACTCTACAGAGCAGCAGAGCATTTTATTTGGGAAATGACAAAGTTATGTAGGGTTACTACTACACATAGTCCTCAACTTACAAGAATTCATTTAGTGACTGTTCGAAGTTACAATGGCACTGAAAAAAGTGACTTATGACCATTTATCACATGACCATTGCAGGATCCCCCATGGTCAGGTGATCAAAATTCAGATGCTTGGCAACTGGCTCATATTCACGACAGTTGCAGTGTCCTGGAGTCAAATGATTACCTTTTGCAACCTTCTGACAAGCAGTAAATGGGGAAACCAGATTCACTTTGCAGCCATGGTACTAACTTAACAACTGCTGTGATTCACTTAACAATTGTGGCAAAAAAGGTCATAAAATGGAGCAAACCTCACTTAACAACTGTCTCATTTAGAAACATAAATGTTGGGCTCAGTTGTGGTCTTTAAGTTGAGGACTACCTGTAAACAGTTTTCTAACTGGTAGTATGGCATGCATTTCACAGATGGGTGAAGTTCCTCTGATCTTTTGTAGGACTGCCACCAACATATTGTCAAAATATCAGCCAGCGCATGAAAATTGTGGACTTCTCAAATAGATGAAATATATTAGCTATTTACTATTTTTCTGATGGTAAAGGTTGGCATCAGATTACAGCAGTTGCTAGTTCTGGACTATGGCCTCTTTCCTTACTACCCTTCCCTGAAATCCTAGATGAAATCTGATTTTGATGAGCATGGGGGGATGATAAGAGAGCTCAAGCTTAGCACTCCACAGTAACTGAAAAGAACTGCTTAGTCTGGAGAAATCTGGAGTCATCATGCATTTAGGCCAATCTAATGATCTTCCCTTCTCCTTCTAGGACCTTAGTACTTGCTGAATGCTACTGAAAAAGATATTTTCCATCTGTGAAAAATAATGTGTTTCCCCGAAAATAAGACTGTGTCTTATATTTTTTGGAACTCTGAAATAAGCGCGTGGCCGTATTTTTGGGGAGGTCTTATTATTTTGGGGTGCGTGGAGTGAGACGGGGATCGTCTTGCCATCTTACCTAATTCCCAGCTCTGTCTCCGTAACCCTAACCAGAGGAAATGGCAGGGACCAACTGCACATGCATTTACATATTTTCAGGGAGGGCTTATTTTCAGGGGAGGGCTTATTTTCAGAGAAACATGGTATCAGTATTGTAATCCATCTACCAATTCCACGCAGGAGCCCTTCTATTGCCTCCTCTATTCCTTTTTCTAGTCTAATAATCCAAAGTGGGGAAATATTCATCTTCTTTATACAATTCTGTGTTTCTTTCTGCATGGCACTAAATAGGACTGGACACATAAGCTGCATGTGTGGAAAACAGATACCAGAGGAGCTATGGAGGGAGGGGGGGAAAATGGAAGAGAGCACTCAAAAACCTTTAATATCTTTTTCTTAAATGTAAATCTGCAGTTGCAAATTGCAGACAAGTAGTGGCATGTCTGGATCGCTGTGTGTGCCCTGATCAAAGAAATGACTGGAAATTGATTCAGCAAGAAAGGAAGAAATACTTTAGAAGGACAATCAAAGAAAGGGATTCCCATCTCTGCACGCTACCATTTTGTGAACTGTCTACTACTCACACAGTTTGTATGGATACGAGGGTTCCAGGGTTCTTATGGAATATTACATTCTTAACTATCAGCTTAATCACAAAATGAGAAAAATCGAGCAAGAACATCAATCACTGCAAGCATTCACATCTGTCAGTTAGAATTTGGAAGGAACCATCCAACTTGCTTACAAAAGCTGATGTAATTGCAAGTCTAACACAAAGACTCCATTCCTAAGGTACAGAAGATTAATAAGACTTTGAACTGAAATCACATGATGCAAAGGTAGCAAAACATACTTGAAGCACTGCAGTTCAGCACATGTGCCATTCTTTAGATTACTTTCTTTCCTAGAAAGCAAATGTGGTTGTAAAAAAAGTGCTCTTAGGGAAATCCTACAGGTTGGTTTTGCACCAATTCAAAAACAGTTCTAGGCCACTGTGAATCCATGACCTTGTCTATGTTTGAGAACTGAGTCGATTTATCTCTGGTTCAGTTGTGAGGTAAAAGTAGTTTTTTTTTTTTTTAAAAAAAAACTATGGTTCCTTGGACTTGTGAGAAATTATTTCCCAATAAGTGATAAATTATTTTCAAATTTGCAGAAATTCCTAGCTATCTCACTTCCGGTTTCCTGCATTTTGGGGTCTTTCAGAGACAAAAGTGATTTGACGCCTATTCAGTTTTTCCTCATAGGAGTTGCTGATATTTGGCTTTTTGTTTTGCATGCAACAAAAATGTTAAGTAATATAGACATAACGTTCTTAATATTGTGGATGAGGTAAAAGCAATTTATTTCACTTATTGGGTAAGGCACCATTTTTTGTGTTTTCATCTCAGTGTTTCAGGTTTGAAGGCAATTGCTGAGGAATGGGGAATGGAAGCAATGGGCGTGTTTGTGTACCTTGAAGTCCCTAAAGTCCAGTTGAGGTTTAGAAGGTGGGGTCCACTAAAATTCTGATCTGTGATTTATGTCATTTGCTGATCTATGTCACTCATTCAATAGCAAGAAAACTGTCACCAGAGTTTTGCTGATATCTACCCACAAGACTAATCGATCAAACTACTTTTCCCCCCAAAAGCAATCTAAAGGCATCATTGTAATACTTTTTAATTTCTGTATTCAGACATTTCAATCTACTTCCTATGTGGACAATCGTTTTTAATACATGAAGCAAGTACGAACACAATAGCAGCGGTTCCATTCCTTTGAATGTTTGCCCTCCTTCAGTTATCATGCTTGACTCTGTTTATTTCAAATTTGATTTTTATAGATTATACTCTTTCCTATAAGGCTTCTTATAGATAGCACAAATACCAGGCATGGAATTCATACACCACTGAGACCCGATGCTTTGATCCTGATGTCTCTCCCCAGGAAAACAACTGCAAACATCCACACATTTCACATAGTATATTCTATGATTTCAGAATGAAATGCATCACATTTTGGATTATTTAGTTCAGACATCATACTCATTTCTATAATATTCTAGACACTTAAAGTCTAAAAAACAGTATAGTATCATTTTGTTACTATTTCTGTAGAATCTTTCCCCTGGCCTCTTCTTGCATAGCTTAAATAGATTAGGTTCCTATTCCCAAAGAAAGTCAATAAAGTGAACATTAGAAATTAATTTAGGCTAAAGTCAACATAAATATGAAAGCTACTTCTAATCTAAGAAATTAATCTTATTGTAAGATGCATCAAGATACATCTCAAGGGCTTTCTCCCCCTTGTATACAACAATTCATTATAGCTAAATAATGCTCCTGAAAGAAAGAATGAATGAATGAAAGAAGAAATAATGCAAATATACAAGGCTAACTTGGCTCTTTTCTTCACTCTTTTCCAAAGAAAATGAAGAGGAAAAGAGCTACAATTGCCATCTGTCACATCATTTGCATTTTTAAAAAATCAGTGCATGTATATACAAGAAAAAGCAGCATCAGTATGTGATTTCTTTTTATGTTAGGGGGAAAAATGAAGATGATCTTTTATTTAGGAAATAGATCTTTTTCTTAGACGATAAAGCCAATATCTTGTTCCTAAGAAGGAGCATTCTCCTACCTAGGCCAATTCGATGCTGACAGGGGAATTGAAATCCAGGGTTGAGAAACACTGGCCTAGGTCAAGAAGCTCTGTGTTCATGACATCATCTACTCTGCCCACGGTATTTTGCCAAGAAACAGCCATGATCAACTCTCTCAGAATAGGAGAATGAAGGGAAAAGTTCAAGGGTGGGTTCTAAATTTTTTTGCTACTGGTTCTGTGGGCGTGGCTTATTTTGTGGGTGTGGCCTACCTGTTTATTTTTGCAGGCACCCGTCTACTCAATTGTTTTTGGAGGCACTGGTCTACCCATTTATTTTTGCAGGCACCGGTCTACTCATTTGTTTTTGGAGGCACCGGTCTACCACCACACTGCCTTTTAACACTGATCAGCTTAGGGAGGCAAGAGTTTAAACAGTTTTTTTCCTTCTAGCCGATCATCTGGGACTCAGGAGGCAGCAATCGATTGGGGGTGGGGCCAAATAGGAGCCTGGATAGCTTTGCAGACTAAAGCACTGTAATTTAACACCAGCTGTCTGCAATTAAAGTAAGTTCGAATCTTGCCAGGCTCAAGGTTGACTCAGCCTTCCATCCTTTCTAAGGTAGGTAAATTGAGGAAGGTAAATTGAGGACCCAGTTTGTGGGGTGACTTTGTATAAAATATACAAAGCTGACTTTAAGCTGACTTTGTATAAAATATACAAAAGTATGAAGGCTATTGCTTAATGCACTGTAAGCAGCCCTGAGTCTCCGGAGAAGGGCGGCATATAAATCAAATTAAAAAAAATAATAAAATAAAATAAAAGATAAGAATAATGCGGGGGGCAGAGGGGGTGGGGGGCCCAGAACCGGTTCAGTGATGTCATATCGTCACCGCTACAGGCTCGGCAGAACCAGGCGGAACCAGGAGGAACCCACCACTGGAAAAGTTGTACCACTGAATTGATAGGCAAACCAAACAAATATTGCTACTGTGCTTTAGTTCCTATCTCCACTGTGGAACAGTTGAAGGACCTGCTAGAATTAGTTTCTACATTTAGTTCCTATTGCTTTCCTACCTGAGAAGAGGTTCAATACATTTCAGGTAATGGCTATTTAAGAGACTTGGAACTCATAGATCTATGCAGTATGAGAAAGATTTTCCTCATAGATAAAGATGGCAGTTGGACACATTAGGATCCATCTTACTTACCTTCAAGAAGACAATAATTGCCTTTTCTTTTTCCTTCAGAGTATGCAGGAAGACACAGTGATCTTCCTCTCTTAGTTAAGGGTGTTCAGAATAGGATTACAACTGCTAGTCTCACTTTTTCAGGCAGACAGTATCAGCATGAGGTCACAATGGCCAGTCTCTTTCATCAGTTGAGGATATCTGGAGGACATCAAGTTAGGGGACTTTCAGTGGTGAAATCCAAATTTTTTTACTACCGGTTCTGTGGGTGTGGCTTAGTGGGCATGGTGTGGTTTGGTGGGCGTGGCAGGGGAAGGATACTACAAAATCCCCATTCCCACCCCATTCTGGGGCCAGCCAGAGGTGGTATTTGCTGGTTCTCCAAACTGCTCAAAATTTCAGCTACCGGGTCTCCAGAACCTGTCAGAACCTGCTGGATTTCACCCCTGGGGACTTTGTATTATGGATTTCTCTTATTGGCAGAGTTAAAAACAAGAAGCAATGCTGACATTGCCAGGAATCAAGGCCATACTTTTGTAGGTCAATATGATACACTAGATGAGACCTCAAGCCCAGAGCAGTTCTTGATAAACTACATTGCTTTTCAGATTGCTTGAATTGTCCCTGACCTCAGTCTTGAACTGGTCACATAGCATGATGCAGAAGTTTAGGCTTCTGCCAGCACTTGAGAGAATGACATGCCAGCAATCTGTTGACATGCCAAAGACCGGTGAAGAAAACAGTCATGTCCTTTACTAATCAGACACTCCATAACACATCCTCATGCAGATGATATCAGCTAATGGCATCTGAGAGACACTTTGAACATACCATTGCACTTCAGAGATTAAAGCAAATGTACAATGTGTGAAGTACCAAAAGGAAGTAGAGGCCAAGTCTACAAATGTTCACTGGAAGTTGCCAACAAACAACCTGCAACTGCCCACAACCACTTCATTTCTGAAATGAAGAAATGAACTGTGGAGATCAAAGGAAGCAATGGATGAATTTTATCTAGAAAGCTCATTCTATGAAACAAATTCTTTCTTCATCTGTATTACAAAATCAATCTATTCCTACTAGAGATATGCAAATCAATAAATACCTGTTTCACTCTATGGTTCTATTTTATATGACAATATTTTTTCTTATTCCCCAGATCATTCAATGTATTGTTTTAAAATTCTACAAAAAATACGTCTTTTTCACAACCCTCTCTAACATACAGAGGTTTTGTTTCATAAGAAGGGAATTTATATTGAAGATATTTGCACAACATCAAACCCCCTCCCCCCCACACAATTAGGAAAAATTACATACAAGATTAAGAATGAAAAATTGAATATTTTTTTTTGCCTTAAGGATTTTTGTTGCAATTAGGACAAGTTACTTGAAAAGTCATACTAAGAAAGGATAGCAATGAGAAATAATGGAGTTTTATGAAAGTCCTTTGCAATTAATGGGAGCTAAAAATTACGTTTGCCATGAGTAGGTGAGAGGCAGTTTGTGTAGTGCTTAAAGGCACCAGGAAAAACCAGGAAATTGTGACTTCTAGCCTTGCTTTAGGCACATAAACAGCTTGATGACTTTTGGCAAGTCACTCTCCCTTAGCCTATGGAAGAAGAAAATGGCAGAACTATTTCCGAAATATTACCAAGAAAACTGTAGGAATTCAAAGAATTGCCAAGAATCAAGACAGACTTGAAAGTGCACACACACACACACACACACACACACACACACACACACACACGAGACAATCTCGAAAATCAGTGCAAACTGTGAACAGGTTATATGCAAGTCTTTTTTTTTTTTACAGGTGGACTCTTTCTATAATGTATTGCATATTTCTATATTATGTTCACTGCAGAGGTGGGCTTTACTTACCTTTACTATCAATTCGCAATGGGGCTGCGCAAGCGCAGAAGCTTCCTGATAACGTTGGGGTTGGTGGGCGGAGCCTCCCACCGGTTTTACTACCGGTTCTATAGAACCGGTCCGAACCAGGGGCAACCCACCACTGGTTCACTGTCATTTGAATTTTTTATGATCATAATACATACTTTTTAAAATAATAAGTGCATTTTAATTTATGCATTGTTCTAAAATGAAAATTAGATCATAGATAGAAACCAAATAAGCAAAATTTACATACACCTTTCCAGATGTGGTTTTACCCAAGAATTTCAATATAGGCAGTGGTGGGATTCAGCCAATTCACACCACTTCGGGAGAACTGGTTGTTAACTTTCTGAGCAGTTTGGCGAACTGGTTGTTGGAAGAAATAATTAGGCCAGAGAACCAGTTAGTAGTACAGGGGTTTAAGGCACCCTGTTATTAAACTGGTTATTAAGACCAGCTGCCTGCAATTACTGCAGGGTTCGAATCTCGCCAAGGCTCAAGGTTGACTCAGCCTTCCATCCTTTCTAAGGTAGGTAAATTGAGGACCCAGTTGTGGGGGCAATAAGCTGACTTTGTATAAATATACAAAAGGATGAAGGCTATTGCTGAGCACATTGTAAGCCGCCCTGAGTCTTCGGAGAAGGGCGGCATATAAATCAAAATAATAAAAAAAAATATTAAAAAAAAATTACTTGAATCCCACCACTGAATATAGGAAAATCATTTTTCATTCTAATTATTGACTCACAGTCTCTGTCTGTAAGCAGTTTATTTATATATGGCAAGTAATATCAGGTTTTCGATTTGTTGAGTCAGTGGGGGCCATAAATTTACCTTTCTGATGTTGGACTAGTTTCTTAGCAAAAAAAGGGTGTGGAGAATCCACTTCTGTTGTCTAGCCCTCAAATTCCATGTAATAGATTCAGAAACATGTCGATATTTGGAAATATTAAACCTGTCTCAACATCAGATTGATATATGTAATTATTTCTTCCTAGAACACAACAGCCTTAGGACATTGCAAAAACATGTTTTAATGAAGCATTATTGCAGTTGTGTGTTCCCCAGCCACAACAATTCACTTATTCCACAAATTCAATGAGATCCAATTGGCACAAAATGTGATGTTTTGTTAAATACGCCATAGCCTAAGATCTACTGAGACTTTTAATAGAGATGTTGAGACAATTTCCCACTGTTAAGGCAAATTGAGGATTTCTAACCTTTTGCTCTATTCACTTAAAATGTTCATATCAAATTCATTTACTGTTTCAGTAAATGTGTGTTTGAGAGGGTTTTTTTTTGGGGTGTGTGCGTTTAAGGTTTAATTATCACATCTAATAATTTAGACTCCAGCAGCCCAGGCTGGTGAACTTCCCAAATGCCTCCAATTGGCCATTGTGTGACACAGAATGCCAGATGAGTGTATGGCTTGCTCTAGCAGGGCACTTTTTATGTTCTTTTGATATGTTGCTGTTTAAAGTGGGGAAAGGAGAACTGGAAGTTTTTTTGGGCAAACAAAAGATTTTTGGCTCACTGAAATGAATGCTTTGCAAGGACGTTTGAATTTGCAGAGTTTGTCACAATATATAGAACAACAACAACAACAACAACAACAACAACAACAACAACAAAGGATCGACTTCATAGCCGTTGTTGGCTCTTGTTTTGATAAATCTATGCATCCTAGTAAACAAACATATGACAATAGAACCATTTCATAAACGAATATTTTGAGCATAAGGCCCTTGATTTTTTTCCCTTTTCTTTCAGGTAGGCACTCTGATCACAAATCCAATAATCTCAGTCTACAGAATTTTAACATCATTTGCAGAAGATTGAACAATGTCATCCTTGTCTCTACCATTCTTTTTTCCTGAGTTGGAAAATCTGAGTAAATTTCTCTGTAAAATGCTTTATCCCAGGACAGCAAATTTGCAGAAATGTTATTCTTATTGCCAGAAAGAAAGCAACCTTCCCAGAGACCGTATCAGGTGATGACACAAGAAAAAAAGATGAGATACATGTGAAAAAGACTAATTCTTTGGCCTATTCTCAGATATCAACTGGTATCTGAGAAACAGAATTGTAAAGCTGATCAGGAAGTGGGTCATGCGCATACATGCACATGCACATGGATAGGAATCATGTGAACTGTCCTGTCAAGCTATGGCTATCAACTTCATCTGTAATTGGTCTCCATGAGTCTCCTCTCTTCTTCAATAAATGTGAACATGTGTCACCCTAGTATATATATGGAAATATGACTTCTGCAATAGAGTAGTAAATGTCTGGAACACTCTACCTGATCCTGTTGTTAGTCTCTCTAACCCCCATACCTTTTACCTTAAACTGTCTATCGTGGACCTTTCATGTTTCTTAAGAGGTTCCTAAGTGGGCGTGCATAAGCACAGCAGTGTGCCTACCGTCCCTGTCCTACTGTCCCCATTTATATCTAATCATTCTATGTGTTTATGGCTATGTTTTGCCTATTTATATCCTTTTATTTGTGCCAATTTTTTTCATGTGTCCATGTCTATGTCTATACTGTTACTTGTTTCCTTATACTTGTTGACAAATAAATAAATAAATAAATAAATAAATAAATAAATAAATAAATAAATAAATAAATGGTGTACAATATGTACAGTATGTGTATATAAAGTCCTTCCAGGAATCACAGACCCAAATAGGCAAATCCAGGGTAAAAATTTAAATTTATATTATTTGCATTAATAATCACTATCAAAATGTAAAACAAGAGTCTGCTTTTTACAGAAGACATTGATCTATATCTGTATATATTCATATTCTCTCTCTTAAACCATACTCATGTAGGAAAATATAGAAGTAGTCACATGTATATCCCAAAGCCACCCACCCCCAGCAAAAACTTCAAAAAATGAAAGAAAGAACAGGATGGAGTTAGGTGAGAAGTGACTGCTGCACGGAGAAATTGGATGAGAAAGGATAAAACATATTTGGGTAAAGAAGAGGAAAACACAAGAAGAAATACAACAGGACCCAAAAGAGAGAATAACCCTGCTTAGTTCTCATATAAAGGGTTAAACTCACTAGGCAAACAAGCCTTCCCAAGCAGCAGCTATTCTTCAAGCTAATTTCAAAAGGCTTAAAAAAAAGAAAAAGAAAAAAAAAAAAGAATTGGGACCAATCCTATCACTCTCAGAGATGTTTAAAATGTTTAACATTACCTTGATATTGAGTGGCGTAGTGGCCTAGTGCAGCAGTCGGCAACCTTAAACACTCAAAGAGCCACAAAGGTCCTAACCAGAAGCCCCCCTGTTCAATTCTAGAGCTACCAATTCCCCCACTATAGAGTCTTCTCCTAGTGCGGCGTCCTTTTTTCCTCTTACTTGTCCTAACTGAAAATCCTATCAATTCTGGAACTGACCGGCAACAAGGAGCTGCAGCAGAGGGATGAAAGAGCCACATGCGGCTCCAGAGCCACCAGTTGCCGACCCCTGGCCTAATGGTTAAGACTCTTGCCTTCCACTTGAAAGATTTTCCATCCTAGGTAGCAGCAGATGTTTCTGTCTTACGGCGCAAAGAAAAAATATCTGCTGCAAATTCCATGTGGTGTTAAGACATCTGGCTAGTAAATGCCGAGTTCTATCCAGTCGCCCTGACTCTACCTCAAATTAAGGGGATTACAGTGTTGTAAAAAGGGAGTTTAATATCACCTTGGTATTGAAAAATTTCAGCATTGTAAATTATATTTTTTTAAATCCACAAACCTCTTTTTTCCAATTGCTCCGGTAAAACGTCAAGGTATTAGAAGATTTCAGATCATCTTTCTAAAAATACTAATTAAAATGGGACTCAAAGGAAGGCACTTAGCCTTGTCCTCTTTTTTTTTTGGAATCAAGTTTTATTGATTTTTTCCCCCCCACATTCACCCGCATCTTTTTTTGAACAGAGTATTGGCCATTTCTTATCTTATACAATTTTTCAAGTTCAAATACATTTGACTCAACTTAGCCTTGTCCTGCTGGTGTCACTTAATGCTTCTGAAATGTGACACTGATGTATCCAAGGTGTTATTATGACATGGTATCCACTGCAATCTCCTAAAACTTGTGGATGCTGGGGATTTATGCTGAATCTCTAACAGATTCAACTGGCATCATTTTGACACAGTATGTCTCAGGTTTTCACGTAAGTCCTTCTGTTATTCTTGCCTTGCCTCTCATTTGTTAATCAAACCTTTCAAATGAATGTAAAACATATTAAGAAAAAACATGCAAAGACGTGTATAATGAATGAATATTGAATATAGTCAAAGAAGGAATTTAAAGGCCACTGATTGAAAACACTGTAATACACGAGACAATCGCTCTGAAAGGGGAAGAACTGCTATCTGAGCTTGCTTGATCTCTTGCAGAGTTTTCATTACCTAAACTAGGTAACATCATCAGTGCTAAGTCATAATGCTAGTTTGAGTAATGAAATGTCTGCAAGAAAACAAGCTCAGAGAGTACCAAGGACCCCACATCGGTGGTGGGTTGCCTCTGGTTCGCACCGGTTTTATAGAGCCGGTAGTAAAACCAGCAGGAGGCCCCGCCCACTGACCCCGACGTCACCAAAACGCTTCTGCGCATGTACGCGGCCCCGCTGCAAACCGATAGTAAAGGTAAGTAGAACCCACCCCTGCCCCATATGTCAACCCTAAGCTACAAATATTCTCCTTTGTTAGTGTAAGGTTTTTGAACACAGCTCAGAATCTGAATTAATCCAATGAAACTCTGAACACAAGGCCACTGATATTCAGCTTTATTATTGATCAAGATTGAGCTGGGCGACCTTTTATCTACCATCTTAAACAGAGCAGGTAGAGAGAGAAAAAGCCAAAGCCGCATGCAAAAACTTTTTCTCAAACTTCTTATAGTTTACACAGCTTGTACAGATCATCATAGTGTTAGAAACATAATTTCATATCCATTAGTTCATGCAAACCTCATGTTTTTCTCAGCGCTCTGAAAACAAAGGACCTCAGAAAGGAGGAAAAGAATACATTTTCTGGCATATAGCCCAGAGCTTTGTTAAGGTAAAGAGAAAGGTTCCCTTTGCACATATGTGCTAGTCGTTCCCGACTCTAGGGGGCGGTGCTCATCTCTGTTTCAAAGCCAAAGAGCCAGCGCTGCCTGAAGATGTCTCCATGGTCATGTGGCTGGTATGACTAAATGCCAAAGGTGCACAGAATGCTGTTACCTTCTCACCAAAGATGGTCCCTATTTTTCTACTTGCATTTTTTATGTGTTTTCGAACTGCTAGGTTGGCAGAAGCTGAGACAAGTAACGGGAGCTCACCCCGTTACGCGGCACTAGGGATTCGAACCGCTGAACTACCGACCTTTCGATTGACAAGCTCAGTGTCTTAGCCACAGAGCCACCACGTCCTTCGATGTGATGAGCCACCACCAGAGCTTTGTTAGGGGGTGCTATTTCACATTAGATTGCTGAGAGTACACATTTTGCATGTCACAAGTTACTTTCCTAGGCTACTTGGCAATTACCCTGGAGCCTTTATCTTTGCAGTTGGCACATTAGGTTACAATGGAGCTTCTCTCAGCAGCAATTAACAAAAGCTGTTAGGTTACACTCTGTGTATGCTCTAATCCTTTCATTAGTAAAGAATATTATACATATCTAACCCTAACAATTTTGGCCAGAATTTTTCTTTTTAGAACTGTCATACATAAGTTGAAATGCAAGTCATGCAAGTATTTTCTGATTGGCTCCACTGTCTTTTCCTAGCATGGGATTTCTCTTCCGAGGAGCAAAGAAGTGACTTCCAGGAGGGAGCTGTTGTAACCTGCTACTCTAAAGGAAGGTAGCTAATTATAAATTTTAATTCTGCTTTGTTTTGAAGCATCCAGGTGCCCAATCTTGTATGGCAATCACCACGAAGTTCAATACAGGTGTGTGTTGGCAGACAAGATGGCATGTTGCCCATCAGGTGGTATGAACCTGGGACCTGGCATCACAATATGCAAAATAGATTTGCTGTAATCAAGGGCAAGATTGCCAAAAGGACTGGTGTGTAAAATCAAACTCATTGAGGCTGGATGTGTGTGGGTTGGCTGGGGCTGGGACAAAAAAAATCCCCGAGACAACTGTCTGTTTTGACTGAATGATTCAGTTGTCAGGATTTTTGAACTGGATAAGGAGTGGGCTAAGCATATTATGCAAATACCATGTCCCAGTCAAAAATGAGGCACTTCTAGAGCACTGCCTCGTCAGTCTTCCATGAAAAAAAGTTGGCGTTAGAGAATGGTTGAAAAAAACAAGTCAGGCTTGTCATTATTACTGGTAATAATATCCTGGCAACCGTTGGACATGCCTCCAAGCTCTGATTGGCTGCAGCATTGACAGCTGCCTATGTGGCGAATGGGAAAGAGGCCAGTGATGTAACAAAGGTTCATGGGATAACAGGGATTCTAGTATCCCCCAATGGGAGTTTTGGGTTGAATAAAAGTCTCCTAGAATAGCCAGTAAGGAGCTATCATTGGAGCTAAACATGCTGTGGAGTTAAGCTTGCTGTATGAATGGGGCCAGTTTAGTTAGAAAGAAATCAAGGGCCAAAGTGGGGTAGCCTGATGTAGCTGATTGATTTCTGTGATACTTACTTTGCCAGTGAATGTGAGTAAAGAGGCCAGTGTAAATTAAAATCTAAAATGTAAATGTAAAATGTAAAATCCCCAGGAGAAACAAGATTTGGGGATTTGAAAATACTTCATTACAAATCATGGTAATTATTTGACTTTGTTTAGGATTAATTCCCAGCTATCCTAGTATCCCACCCAACTAGCACCAAGTTTTTTTCTTTTCCTTCAATAAAACTTCCTCTTCTGGGGCACCAGACCTAGGAAGTAATGGCTCTCGTTCCCCTCTTTCACCTTTGTGGAATATTCTTGATGAGCAACTGAAGGGACTTTCAATGCCCCGATGTGGCCATTGAAGAGAGGTAGGTTTATTTCAAAACTCGCAATCACCTTTCAAGAAAAAAGAGAGGATGGAGAAGAAAAATATTCAATTTCTGTTTTTTTCAGTGGTTGCTTCACCTGTAGATATGGGAAAGGAAAGAAAGGAGATGGGGGGGGGTGGAATCCATAAGGGGACTGTTTAGGAATAGTGAGTGGATTGATTTGGAAAGGAACCCCATGCCAGTTCAACACCAGGTGGATGGGAGTTTGCCCATCTCCTAAAGTACAACTCTTAGGATCATTTCTCACTTTTTAAAAAAAGGTTAACTGCAACTAGTGAGGGTGAGAAGAACAGAAAAGTAGATGAATTGAGACTGCAGCCCTAAAAATGTGAGATTAAATTTTCTTCTATGCCATTTTTCTAATTAACCCTCTGCCAAGCAACACTTTGTTGTAGGAGAAAACTAAAAAGATTGCCACCCATAAGTCAGAAGCAGTGGTATCAGTATGCCACTGTAAGAAGATGACATCCCTCTGTCATATGTGACTATTATAATAAGTGTAAGAATTGTATTGTATTGTAAGTGTAAGAAGCACTGCAGTAATTCTCCAGCAGCATCAATGCCTTGATCCTGACCTGGAAGACCAAACGGTTCCTGTCCCAATTCTCAGCCATGGCAAAATATTCCTTCCTAGCCTAATAACTGATGTACTTAGCAGCCTTCATGCATGCCAAATAACCTTCAAATTGCAATTGAGTCAGAAACATTGAGCCCGAAAATCCAATTGAGAGTTCCATTATGAGCCATGGCTAGGGCAGATGACAAATGTAGATTTTCTTCCAATTTCTTACAAGCTCCTCTTTCCAAAGAACTCACACTGCCTAGTGGATAGGACTAGAGGCAGATTTGCCAGGTGAATTCTTGGGTCACAATAACACTCTCATTTATTTCCTGGCACTATCCTTCCTGCCTCCACTCCCACATATCTTTGGCATGAAGGTTTCCTTTCCTTTTTCTTTTCCTGGAGACAGCTTTATCCTACTTGCTGTCTCCATGACAGGTGTTTCACAAAAGCCAGCTATGCCCTATCCATTTCTATGCCAAAGGTTCTGCAACGTAAGAGTGTACTAGACTAATCTCTGCTTTTCATAAGCAGCCTCTTTTGTCCCAAGTGCTGTAATTGGGTTCAGAGAAACCAACTTTGTCATAGGGGCACTGTGGAGCCAAAGTGGGATAAACGCAGAATAGGGATGGGGTGGGAAAGTTGTAACACCAGTTGCTTGAATCGGATGAGGTCATTTCATTTCATTTCATTTCAGTGAAAATCTATAGTTATCAAAGCACCAAGCTGCACAAAACCCATTTGATTCAAAGCATTATTGTCAATGGAGGAATCGAAGGAGTAGCCTGTGAATGTAAATGTAGACAATTGTAAACAGAGGAGGAGGAGTTCCTGTTGATTATGTACAATAGACAAAACCAAGCATAGATAACCAAGGCAATGTTTAAAGTGCCTGCTCATAGAACAACAGATTTGTGTATGTGTGTGTGTTTTAGAACTCTGAACACAGATGTAATGAAAGAATATAAGCCTTCATTGTTACCTCTAAGCTCTGCTTTGTTCATTTTCTTCCTGCATCTATCATTTGTCAATGCTGAGAGAAGTTGGCCTAGTTCACAACCACTGATGGTTTTTCAGGATCCAATCAGGGTTGGTCACCAGGACCAAAGGATTTGTCTTCCGAGCTTTCAGACTTGTGCTGGAGTCCATCTTCAGAGAACTTCTCTCTAGCAGAGTGTGTGCTATTCTCTGTGTGTGGTATTTATAGTGCCTGTTGAATGTGGCATTTTAGAGGTTGATGGAGGTGAAAATGAAGTTATCATGGGTTGGAAGAATTGCAGTCATTAGGATGATTTTACTCCTTAAAGTATTATTTTTATTTCAAGTTTTACCAATTCATTCATCTTCATTAATTTTGACAATGCAAAGAGTATTGATTTTATACTTGCTGGGAAATGATTGAGGTTTGTAAAAAGTGTTATATTTTAAAACATCTCAGGTTGGGTTTGGAATTTAAAATTCATACTTTTCTTATGAGATTTTCCATTTTTGAAATATTGTATGGTTATTAACAGAGGTGAAAACCAAAATCTGGATTGAAGTAGATGTTCCAGAAGAGAGTGACATTGGGTTACTAAAAATTCCTTAATTGGACACTGTTAAAAGATTTAAAGCTGATGATAATAATCCTTTTTGGAGTGCTGATTTTAAAATCTGGGCAAAATGTCTAAAACTTTAGTTACCCCTTGATCTCCTATTATTTCTATTTGTAGCCATTCTAAATTTCTTGTATCTGTTACTGCATTTTATAAACCAAAGATCAATCAGAATTTATACAGATTGAAGGGTGATGATCATTCTGGCAATCCTGTTAATTTAGAGTTGATAATTAATGAGCTAACTTTTCCAAACTTGTACTTCAATTACAGTTTAGATCCTTTCTTCTTAATTCAGAAATAAAAGCTCAGACAAAGATACTCCACCCCCAACAAACTTTGAAGAAGAAGTATCGAATCTAAAAGGTGTATCACTAAATTATATAATATCATCACAGAGAAAACATGGTAGCCTCTAATTGGTTTGAAAATGGCTTTGGGGAAAAAGAAATTAAGACTCAAGTGGAATAACATATGGAAGTAGAAACCAGTGTCATTATCCTCAGACCAGATTAATGAGAATTTACTTAAGCTATTCCATAAATGGTATATTCCTCCCTTAAACTAGTATGTATGAACACAATTAGCACCTGTTTTGTTGGAATGGTTGTGAGGAAAAGGGAACTTATTTCTACTTGTGGTTGTCTTTTCCTTTTGGTTTGAGTTCTTTTTGGAGAACAGTAACGTTATAAATCAAAGAATTAATATGCGTCCATGACTTGCTGAATATATTTTTAGAGTTTAATGCAAATATTTACTCTAAAAAATTAGTGTTATTTTTTAATTCATGTTTATTGAGAATTTTACTATAAAAAAAGAACAATTAAAAAAAGAAAAAGGGAAGAAAAAAGTGCAAAAAATGAAAAAAAAACCTCCTAAAGAAATATGACATCTAACCTTCTTTTCAACAGTTACAATATTATAATCCCTCCTTCCTTCTTACATATTATATGTCCCTTCAACCCCTCATTTAGTCCAATCTTCAAAGTCGTAAATCATCATTTCATTTCTTTCTTCTTTGAGCAAAAAAAGTCCACACTGTTTCTAATCTTTCAGAAAAGATTTTTTCCCTCTGATCAAGGAGGTCAGTTTTGACATTTCTGTAAATTCTAACGTTTTCACAATCCATTCCTCCATTGTAATGATTTCATTATTCTTCCAATTTTGTGCATGCAATAATCTTGCTTGCTCAATCTACCAGGAGTTTTTTTTATAATTCACTGTCCATAAGTCCCAATGGAAGGAGTTGCCCTAAGTCTCCGAGGAATGAGTGCCGTTTTTGAGGTTGTATTGGCATGTGGAAGGAATAATAGACCATAATCAGTCATGCTGGTCCAATGTGGGTTTGGCAGATATGATCACAGAATGTCATAGAATGGATCCCACTTGATAAAAAATGTCCACGAAAGAGACTTAAAACGATGGATTGACAACATCAGCAAGTATTGTGGGCCCAATTAGCAAAAGAAAGCTTAGGACCATATTGATTGGAAACATATGGAAGAGTATTGAACGTAATTACATAAGTCACAAGATTTGCATCATGATGCCATGATACATTTGTTATCCTTCTTACTCTCCTATCTATAGTTGTCTCCCAGGGAGGGGAAATTATGAAATATGCACACTATTGTTATACACAAATGCCAATCATATATGCTTGCATCCATGACATGTTTGTAATCATGTCACTTATCTGATAATTTCACTGAGTGTGTGTTGTCATTTAACATCTTCTTATCTTGTTTTGGAAACCAGCAAGCATAATCCTAGATCAGGGATGTCAAACTTGCATTGTCACGGCATCGTCATGTGACGTATCAGGACTTTCCCCCCCTCCGCTAAACTGGGCGGGGGCAGAGTCAGCACGTGACGCATCTGACCTGTGGACCTCGAGTTTGACATCCCTGCCCTAGATCAATGATGGCAAGCCTTTCAGACATGATGTGTCAAAAATTCAGAAAATGCTTAACTTGTCTCTGCTGGTGTGTCATCCCGCCCCCCCCCCAAAACAAAAGTTAAACAATTCTGTATCTGCCCTCCTCCATCTAGGTTGTCCTGAAAAGCAGCATTCAGCAGCAGCACCTAGGTTGCTCATGAAGCTTTGACTTCAGCCCTGGTGCCACTGATGCTACTCAAGGCCACCTTGTACTGTTCCTCAAGGCTTGTGAGTCTTGGGAAATGGTGTGATTGCCCCTGCAGCTCAGCAGTCCTCAGGATCTGCCATGCAGTGCCTACCTCCAGGCAGTGTTCTCTTTCTGTTGACAAGGCCCTGCGTCTACCTGAGGCTGCTCTGGCTTGCATGATGCCTTCGTTCTTGAAGTGGCTTCAGAGAATGCTCTCTGCAGCCTCCGTGGTCTCCAAAAACTGTGCAAAAACATGTTCATTTTCAGATGCTCCAGAGGGTGTGTGAGAATTGGGGTTCTTGTGTGATCTCTGAAAGTTATACAAAAGAACCATGTTCTCGTGAGACTTCTAGAGGGTTTGGAGGCCACCACATCCTCCAAAAATTGTGCAAGAGTGGGGTGTAATTTTGAGAATAGTACTTGGCATGTTACCCAAAACATTGTAGCATGTAGCATTTTGACACACGTCATAGGTTCGCCATCACTACCCTACATATTTACATGCTTTATTAAATTCTAACCGAAGAAACTAATCCTCCAATTTCACTTTGCTTTAAAAGCTTTCTTAACTGAATGAAACTAGATTGTAAAAGTTTCCATATTATTTTAAATTTTGCTTCATCACAGTACCCAGAATTGTCCAATCACACAAAGGAAACTCAAGATAGATCTGATCATTTCCTTCGGAAAGCAGTGTGAATTCTATGGATAAATTGTACTGTCTTGTTTTATTTTGCAAAATAATTTTATTTTTAAATCCATAAATCACTTTGAGAGGATGGCATCTTAAATAAACAAACAATTGGAAGTTGAATTAAGAATGTTTGCAACTCTTTGGCTGCAAACATTGTCTTGGGAAGTAAGCATTGTTGGGCTCCAGGATTCCGAGTGTACAAAGGACATTGCTATTGAAAAGACAGTTTGGACCCTAATTTAGAAACAAGTAAAAACTATAGGCTGATGATAGAGGTATTAAGATCATCATTGTCGATAAATGCAACATCTTTCTACTCTGGTCAGAACATAAGGATGTCTGAACTCTAGCCAAGCTGATCAGGGCCCATAACTTTCATTGCTTGCTGTTGTATCATACTCTAGATAGCTAGCACTGACAGATTACATACTGAATCTGTTTTTAAGATGATTATAGAGGCCTCAAAGATAAAAGCGCTCTTGTGCTATAGGCTGTACAAACAGTACCTGCCCCAAAGACCTTGCAATCTAGGCATCCAGCATAGACAAAGGACCCATTGTCACCTTGATTTTATAGAGGGGGAACGAATGCCCCAGAGCAATGAGGTGAAAAATTCCGCAGTGATACTGCCAAGCTGCCTCTCCACCTTGGTGGGTGAAGCACGTGGCTTGAATGAACAAGAGGAGCCCAGAGAGATGCTGAAGGACGAAATGGTTTCACTGTCAAGGCTGGATGATCAGAAACATACATCCGCAATGATGGGCCATAACTACTGATGAATATGAATTAATATGAAGATGGGTTAATATATGAGAGCTGAGAGAAATTTTCTCTGGGATTTGCCAGTTAATAGGGCTAATTCACAACCCTTGGTTTTTCTATTTTTGATACTTCATCCTGAGGGCACTCAAGAGTTTGCTACATAGAGTTCTTATGTACAAACAAAACTAATTTTCATTTGTCTACAGCAGAGGTCTTCAAACTTGGCAGCTTTAAGACTTGCAGACTTCAACTCCCAGAATTCTGCAAGTCTTAAAGCTGCCAAGTTTGAAGACCTCTGGTCTACAGCCTGATAGAGCCAGTCCTTCCTGAGTTTGGACTGTCAATGGAGATTCTCCAAGAATCGGTTGGGCAAGAGAATGGTGACTTTCAACATTCTTGTGTTTTTGTTAAGATGACCTTGCTCATAAAGTAGGTGCAGCAACTATTTATTCTCAGAAGGAGACTTGACGCAAGCATATAGAGAATTTGAGGAAAAACTGGTTCTCTCCATGTACTTCCAAAAATCACAGTTTTGTCATTTTGGGCAATTGAGTTGCTAAATCCTGGAGAACTGTGAAGTATATATATATATATATAGAGAGAGAGAGAGAGACAGCTGAGAAATCCTCTATATCTGACCCACCACCCCACTAAAATCACTAGCTGTTGCATAATCCTGAGATGAGTGGTAATGGAAAGTTTAGCGTGGTAGAAAGTATTTACAAACAGGACTGGGGATTGTAAAACTGCAAATGAATGTTAAATGCAAACAGATGTGAAAGACAAGACTTACCCAGAACACGCCTGTACACATTGCCTTTTGTTCTTCTGCAATGCATTTGCCAAGACATTGGACTGAAACATGTGCGGACCAGGTGTAAAAGAACTGTGAAAGACAGATGGAGATCTTCACGTGTAGAATGTGGGAGGGCAGATGTCACGGAGAGGAGCAGGCTCTAAAGCAAAATAAGGACATCCTGAAGTTTTAAATTCATGACTACATTTTGGAAATGCTTAAAATGTTAAGTGGTTTCCTTGATAATTTTCATTTAAAAAAAAAAAATCAACCAAACCAAGAACAAATCTTCTACTAAGACTAAGTTATGTAGTAGATATCTTCCAAAAAGAAATTATACTACTTTAATACCGTAGCCAAGTGTTTTAGCTTTTTAGCTCAGGGTGACAAACCTATTGCTCTGAAAGGCTTTAATATGGTTAAATTCTCTGAGATGTGAGAAGGAGAAGTGGCCAGCTAAAGTTGCATCATGGAGACAAAGCACCTACTTTGCTTATTATAGGGCAATTCTTAACAGAGACATTAGATTGGCCAATGTCAGCGCCAGAAGTTAAATCTCCTAGAATAAACTATTCTTATCAGGATGATCCAGTTAGTAACTGAATTTCCAGACATGATACTCATTCAAAAAACCAGGAAGAAATTTATAAGAGAGAGAGAGAGAGAGAGAGAGAGAGAGAGAGAGAGAGAGAGAGAGAGAGAGAGACAGACAGACAGACAGACAGACAGAGGCAGACAGACAAACAGACACAGACATACACAGAGAGAAAGACAGAGACAGAGAGAGACAGAAAGAGAGAGACAGAAAGAGACAGAGAGAGAGACAGAGAAAGAGAGACAGAGAGAAAGAGACAGAAAGACAGACACACACACACATAGAGAGAGAAAAAGACAGCGACAGAGAAAGAGAGAGACAGAAAGACAGAGAGAGAGAGAGACAGAGACAGAGAAAGACAGAGACAGAAAGAGAGAGAGAGAGAGAGAGAGAGACAGAAAGATAGAGACAGAAACAGAGACAAAGAGAGAGAGAGAAAGAGAGAGAGAAAGAGAGAGAGAAAGAGAGAGAGAAAGAGAGAGACAGAGACAGAGAGAGACGGAGAAAGACAGAAAGAGAAACAGAGAGAGACAGAAAGAGAGAGAGGGAGGGAGGGACGGGAGGGGGGGAAAGGGAGAAATTGATATTTATTTTAAAGCTGATAAAAAGGAACTTATAGGTATTGTTGCCATGGAGAGAAAGCTAATTCCAAAGGGAGTCTTGTCCTGAACAGGGAATGCTGCCCTTGTCCATCTTAGACAGATTTGTTTCCCACCGCTTTAAAGTGGCACTGACAATTACAAAATTGGCCCTGACAAATAAGTCTGGGTTGGTTTTTTTTTGTAGTTTTGCTTGGTTTCATTTTCACAACTATTCTGATGTCTCTAGGTGATCCAGTTAATTACATGCTTCTTCACTTCTTATGGAGCTCCTCAATAATTCCCCAGGATTATAAAGCCACGGTGTAGTCAGGAATTGGTTGAATGAGGAATCATGGTAAGACTGAAGTGCCTCATGTTGCAATGAAATTGAAACTCTGCTCCAGAATAGCTAAATGGCAATAAGAATCTGTGACAGATTGTGGGGAACAAAAGAGAAAGCAGATACAAGCAATCAAGGGTGAACCAATTGACATCTTTTTTCATAGATAGTGACTTAGTTCAGGTAGGAAGAAAGCTGGGAAGAAGCAATTCAAATCATTTAAAGCAGGATTGTTAAGACTTGGCAACTTTAAGACTTGTGGATTTCAACTCTCAGCCATACTGGCTGGGGAATTCTGGGAGATGAAGTCCATAAGTCTTAAAGTTGCCAAGGTTGGTCACCTCTGATTTAAAAGAACTCTGCCTGTTAGAACTTACTACAAACGAAAGTGAGAAATTCCTCTTTTTCACAAAGTAGCATTAGGGATACCCAGTGGTGGGATTCAAATAAATTAACATCCGGTTCTCTGCCCTAATGACCAGCTGGGTAGGTGTGGCTCAGTGGTCATGTGACCGTGTGGGCGTGACCAACTCAACATCACTCATGTCGATGGGCGCTTCACCTTAGCTGTTACATTGTAATAAGGATTAACCAGAGAGGCAGTTTTGTAAGGAGGGCAATAAAGATTAGGCTAGAAACAACACCAGAATGTTTCCTTCCTGCCTTCCTTACAGGATTAGCCCTGTAAAGTGGAAAAAAAGAAAATAAGATTTCTTCCAACAACTGGTTCTCCAAACTGCTTAGAAAGTTAACAACCAGTTCTCCCGAATAGGTGCTAACTGGCTGAATCCCACCACTGGGGATACCTTATTAAAACCTGTGTAATTCTAGCTTCCTTGATTTTACTCACCTGAATCAGGTTTACAAATACAACTATTGCTAGATAGCAATTCATTTTCCAACAGTTTTCAGAGAAATTAAATATTGGATGAAATTATTCTCAGTTGTGCCATATACAATCCGTACAATATACAGTATAAAACAAATAGTGGGTGCTTGGCTTTGAGCAAATAGTAAAGGCAATTTCTTTCATACGTGGAGGATATATAACAGGATTTTCCAAAAGGAAAATCTTTTGGAAATCAATTTGCAATTACTAATGTTTTTGCAGGTATAGTTACCATTAAATTGCTTATTGAAAAAGGATGAAATGGAATTGTGTATTTTATATCAAGATTGCAATAAAATTAATCTTGGCCAAGGGCAAGATAATACGAAGTACAAAAGAAAGATCATTTACCTTCTACAACTGCCTGACTCTCCAAATATAGCATGTAATACTGTGAAGGAACAATAAGCCAGCTTTCAGTTCCTATATACTAATGATGTTCTATTATCCACTTAAATATAAGGTTTTTTTAACCGATACAGATTTGTGGTTTTGTAATAGTCTTGCGTGTTTAAGTTTGTGTCTATTGAATGAAAATGAAATAAATAAACAAATAGATTGATTGAAAAATAGGATGATGTAAGGGATTGTCTTGAGGCTATGCTGCATCTGCATATG